AAGATTATGATCAAATATTGGATTAAGTTATATCTGAAAATAGAGGTAGTAAGTATAGATCTACTATTTGTTCTGAATATGTTGGAAAAAAAGATTGTTACTCTATAAAAGATTAAAGTTGTATTTGGATTAATCAAAAATGTTAATTAAAATAATGTTATACTGCATCATCACCATTTGTAAACGATGATTGTAAATAATTTGGAAATTGTATGGCAAATTTAGGAGGTGATTGTATTTCAAAACCATTATAATGTGAAGTTATCTATTTAGCGGTTGGCTGTGATATAAATTCATATAAGGAGAGAAATTAAATTTGGTTAAATATTAAATTATATAGTACTATTTAATCAAATATAAGTTTATTTTACAATTCATTTGAGTTATTTGAATGTTTTTATAGTTATATAAATTTCTAAATAGTAATTAAATAAATTTGTAATTAATTAAAACTATCACATTATTTCTAGTAGTTAAGCTTGTCAAATTCTCAATCCTAATTGTATATTTAATATTTAATAATTTGGCTTTATAGATTTGAGTTGTGATCATATATCTAACATAAAAGATTGTATGCCAGAATGCACAATAAATGTTTTTTCTTAATCTTTTAATTTATAAGTTTTGGCAGGCTGCATCAAAAAGTTTGAATAATGTCAATTATATTCAAAGGAACAATGTTTTAAAACTATAAAAGGTTATTTTTGTAGATGGGATATTTCGAAACTCTCACCCCATTTAACAAGATATTTTTTTATTAATAATATTATTTTTGAGTTATATTAATTCAAGTTTATTTCTTGAATTGACAGAATATATTTCTAGCAATTTATGTGAGGAAAATGGAGAAATTAAAATGTTCAACCTGTTTTGAAAGAGATTTTAAAAAAGCACATAAAAAGCAAACAAGGTATTAACAATATTACTATCTTTGGTAATAAATAATAGGGCTACATTGATAGATTGATACTAAATTAAATGTGAGATATTAGGGTTCAGCTCTTTTCAAGGGAATTTTTAAAACCGATTTCTAAAATACTACAAATAATGTATTCAATCTTTAAAAAATTTTAAATTACCAACAGATTATTATCATGCTTGCTTATTATATAAAAGCACAAAGATTAGTAAATATAAAAAGATTATCTAATTGTACCCTACAAGAGAACTATAATTGCATAGAAAATCAAAAGATATAAACATAGTATAAACTCAAATATTTATATAGAATAGCACCTTTTTTTAAAATACTTGGTTTTTGCAACGTCGTATACACATAATCCACTATATGTTAAAATAGTTTTGAAATATATTATTTTTTAGAGTAAACTATCCTACTTTATTTTAAGACGGTATGTTATTATGGACTCAATATTATTATACCAAAAATTAATTAGAGAAATCATTCTCTATGAAACGAGAGAATAAAATGGAAATGGAAAAAAAATTAATTCTGAAGTAATAATTCTTTTCAAGAAATGCTACTTAATTGATTATCTAGTTTATATTCACAAATTTCTAATTATAAGGCCCTAGCAGAAAAAAAGAATCTGATAAATTTTACAATTTTAAACAATAGACTGTTTGATACAGTAATATCTAGACAGAGTTACATAAAATATATCTACAATAGGGTTACTATTTTATTATAAATTAGTAGTTCATATAATTAAGAGATTATTTGATTTATTAATATTACAATGGATGAAAACAGAATAAAGAGATTTCCCCGTTAGATAATTAATGCAATTTACAGAGATTTTGATACTCAAAATAATTTTTGATACATTAGAAAATCTTCATAAAGCATTTGAAGAAGCTTATCTTACGATATCATGGATTATAATCCAATTAAATCTAGTAAAAATACCTTGCTGATTCATAAAGCTATAGTACACCCATGGATGAATTTAAGAACTAAATAGATAGAAAGAATACAATAAGGAGATATACGAAGAATTATCAAATAAATGCTAAGCATATCTTTTGGCAATCTATTCCTATTAGCAAAACCAGAAAAAGCATATGTAATTAACAGAGAAAAAAAATCAAAGATTATTTAACCTTATAAACTACAAGTTAGACATGATTATTGAGATTTACTAGATACTTATTCTTATAAGAAAAAGAGTATAAAAAGTATTTAAAAAAAAGAGGTAAACACTTAGACAATACTAGAGCTAAAATTTTAGAGTAAAATTATTGGAAGAGTAAAGAGTGTAAAAAATTAATCTATTATTCCACTAGTTTGCTGAAATTATCATTAAATCCCTTCCAGAATTCAAGAAAGTAATGATTTCCAAACAACATTTTTTAGTAATTTTATCTAGGTCAGTTTCTAACTCAACTGTCAAATCAATATAAAGTATTTCAAATTCATCTAGAATTTTTGTAAATATTATTATTTTGATAATGAAGTTATTGTGATATTCTAATAACTTGGAAATAAAATAAATTTGATATAGGAGTTGATGTTTAAAATAATTGAGGTTTCAAATTGTTTAAAAAGATTTTATTTCTATAATTATAAAGACATGAGGTTAGAAATATAAAAAAATAATTAACCAATTTGTTATGCTAAAAGTAAAGTTCATTTTTATTTAGGAATTAAAAGATTATATTGTAATAATTAGATTATGTCAATTTATAATTAGGGAAATAAAATAGGAGAAATTTAAACTGTTTCAGAAGAAGATTTGGAGAATAATTATTAAGAAGTGATCATACCAAATCTCATCTATTTTATAATTAAAAACCAATAACCACCTTAAACAAAATTTTTCATAACAAAAGATTTAAGTGATACACAATATTGTCTTTATTTTTGTTATTGTCTTCGTAAAGATATCATAAAGAAGCAGATATAGAATTCTAATAATACATTTATTCAAATAATTTTCGAATTGTATCTAATGAATAGATTGTTTACTAAAAATATTACTTCTTAATAAATCTACCTAATGTATTATTGGTAGCCAATATATCTTATATTATTTTATTTTATAATAAGTTTCTATTAGTATCTTCAAGTTTATCAAATTGAAAATTGTTGGAGCCTTTTCGATAATATTATTAATATTATTAATATTATTAATATATATTCTTTAAATGAACATGTATTTTATCCAATATCATCTTACACTATGCTTAAGGCAAATGATCATTTTCCCAATAATTTTTTGTTTTTCTAAAATCCGATTAAACTATACTCAGATGCCAAACATATTATGATTTTTAATTTTAATCTGATAATCTATAATTTAGACAAGAACTATTAATTGAAATATCAAAATCTAATCTTAAATAAACTGATGTTTAGCTTTATAATTTTATATATCTCTCATAAAACTTTTCTTAAAATTAAAATTTATTATTCTATGGCAATTCTCCTTCCATTCTATTTTATTTCACCGATAAAAATGAGTCCCGATTTTCTTTCTCCAATTTTTTCTCCATTATATAGAGCAACATCGCCAATAATAATTTAATTTTGTGAAGTATCATCACTACTAATTTAATTAAAAGAATGAAAAAGTAATAATATTTTAATCTAAGTAAGTAAATGAAAAAAGGTGAGTATGAATTTTCTAGATGATTAAATTTGATATTGATTAGATTAGTTTTATCACCAATTAAGTGTAATACTTTAACTCTATGATCGATCATTATTTCATAAGTAATTATTGGAATTATGAGAAGTAAGAAATAAAGAATTCATTTTTATTATAAGATTTGGTACATTACTAAATTTTAAAATAGAGAAAAGGTGGGTGATCATTTATGAAATTACCATCAAATGAATGTTTAATCCATTTTATCAATAANACCTTAAACAAAATTTTTCATAACAAAAGATTTAAGTGATACACAATATTGTCTTTATTTTTGTTATTGTCTTCGTAAAGATATCATAAAGAAGCAGATATAGAATTCTAATAATACATTTATTCAAATAATTTTCGAATTGTATCTAATGAATAGATTGTTTACTAAAAATATTACTTCTTAATAAATCTACCTAATGTATTATTGGTAGCCAATATATCTTATATTATTTTATTTTATAATAAGTTTCTATTAGTATCTTCAAGTTTATCAAATTGAAAATTGTTGGAGCCTTTTCGATAATATTATTAATATTATTAATATTATTAATATATATTCTTTAAATGAACATGTATTTTATCCAATATCATCTTACACTATGCTTAAGGCAAATGATCATTTTCCCAATAATTTTTTGTTTTTCTAAAATCCGATTAAACTATACTCAGATGCCAAACATATTATGATTTTTAATTTTAATCTGATAATCTATAATTTAGACAAGAACTATTAATTGAAATATCAAAATCTAATCTTAAATAAACTGATGTTTAGCTTTATAATTTTATATATCTCTCATAAAACTTTTCTTAAAATTAAAATTTATTATTCTATGGCAATTCTCCTTCCATTCTATTTTATTTCACCGATAAAAATGAGTCCCGATTTTCTTTCTCCAATTTTTTCTCCATTATATAGAGCAACATCGCCAATAATAATTTAATTTTGTGAAGTATCATCACTACTAATTTAATTAAAAGAATGAAAAAGTAATAATATTTTAATCTAAGTAAGTAAATGAAAAAAGGTGAGTATGAATTTTCTAGATGATTAAATTTGATATTGATTAGATTAGTTTTATCACCAATTAAGTGTAATACTTTAACTCTATGATCGATCATTATTTCATAAGTAATTATTGGAATTATGAGAAGTAAGAAATAAAGAATTCATTTTTATTATAAGATTTGGTACATTACTAAATTTTAAAATAGAGAAAAGGTGGGTGATCATTTATGAAATTACCATCAAATGAATGTTTAATCCATTTTATCAATAATAGTATAGTTTTAGTTGAAAGACTCTTTAGTTATCCTGCTGAATACTATTGTAGTGGAGTCAATCTCAGATAAATGGAACGTTATTTATTAAATCACACACACAATTTATTATATTATTTTATTATAAATAATATAATTATAATTTATTATTTCTAAAATTTGAAACAGCATTATTTTGTATAATCTAAATTTTTTATAAAAAATAACATAATGCTATTAAATAAAAGAAAAAAAAACCCTACTCTAGTCTATATTTTCTGAACTGATTGTAGTGCTTCCAAATTAGATTTAAAAAAACGAATATTCGGTATCAATTCAAAAATAAATATGTTATTTAAAACAAAATATAAAATTAACCTAAACATCCTTTTATGTTAAAACTCACTCTCTAAATGAATTAACAGTACTAAATAGAGTTAAATACGTTTCATTTTTGGGTAAACAAGATACAATTATGAATTTCTCATGATATCTATTGTTATTCTTCATCAGTCAGGTTAACTATTCCAAATTTTTAACTTTCTAAACATAAGAAACTAGAAGTGAATGTATTTCTAGACTAGAAAGAATTGAGGAATATTCCTAAAAATTATTGATATACTATTATGAATTTTATTTGTTAAAATCAAAATCTTTGTCATGAAATCCTTAAAGACTATCAGGTAAATGAAAAAATTATTAATAAACATAAGTCTTACTTAAATTTATTGGGCTTTAAGTTCAGAAAAATACTTTAAAAAGAAGATCTTCATATTCATAATATACGCAGTATACCAATTACAAAACAAGGTAATGCCATAGTGTACTAAATTAAATTAAAATAAATAATTCATTTAAATATTCGAATATATGATAGGGTTTATAAACTTTTTATCAAAATATTTGTTCAAAAAATGAATATATATTTAATTATCCTTCAAATATCTTGCGACTAAAAAGTGTACATTTTCTAATTCATTAAAGAATTGCAGGAAAAATCCTTATTATCCTTTTGGGAACACTTCATTATTAATTATCCATCAATAAATTTGAATTTTAGTTCGTTAAATTCATTATATAATTTTAATATATGAAAATTATAACAAAGAAAATTAAAGAATTTGTACAATTGATTTTTGCCAAAAAAATTATTTTATGATTGTTTATGGAAATGGTCTCCGATAACCAAAATTTTTTGCTATTTTTTCATTGGTTAAAAATACTAATATTTATAATTTGTTAATTAATAGAAAATAGTTATTAAATGAAAGGTTTAAATTTTGAAAGTACATTAACTTATACTTACTCAAAATCGTAAGAATAAATGAAGAATATATTAGAATAAGATGGATTTTAGAAGTTAAAATAGAATGATGATTTAAAAGTTGTTGAATATACAATTGATCATTCAAGATAGATCAAATTAAGTCAATTACTTTATTTATAAGTAACAATATTTTTATTTTAAAGGAAATTAGATATATACAATTAAATATTGCTTAAAATATTCAATTGTGTTTAGATATAATAATGAAATACTAAAAACTCAAAGATTAAAACATTTAACATAATTATTTAAGTTCTGATAGAATTATATTAAATTTAACAGATTAACAGTCATAAATCACTATATTACCATAAAATCTCAATTATACAATACATTTTGTAGGATACGATTGTCCATTTTATGAAAGTAAAAATTATATTAACTCTTCCAAAAATGATGATTAATCTATTAAGGAAATTATTATTAATATTTTATAAATCAAAAAAAATGAAAGAATGACAAAAAAGAATAAGAATTAAAATTGGAATATAGATACAGATTAAGTTAAAAATAACAAAATAATACTTCCAGATATAAATAAAGAAGAATAGAAAAAAAAATTCAATCAAAAATATTCAGAACTTGCCTAAATTATTGAAAGTTTGTTGGCTGAAGGAATATTTAAATCAATTGAAGAATTTGTTTAAAAATCTAAACTAATCTTTGAAAAATATAATAATCAAAATAATAAAAATTAAAGATTGACAGGTGTGGATAAATGCTTTACCAAAAAGAATTTCAAGAGATCCAATAGATTAGATGATGTTATTAAAAATTTAAAATAGATTTAATAACTTTATTACAAATAGGAAGAATCTTCAGAATTTTTAAAAATCTTATAATTAAGCTTCCCATTAATTACCAAAGAATTAATAACAGCAACTTTTTATTAGAATTAATACCCTCATAATATCAATTTTTTTCTTAATTTAAAGTAAGAATTTAATATAAATAATGAAATGATTGATAAGATGATAAATGAAAATAAAGAAGAAATCATGAAAGATTTCAAATTTGAATTAGATATAGAAATAATCAAAGATGATGTAAATTTATAATTAATAGATAATAAATTCAAAATACTCAATTATTTCCTTAATAGTACTAAATTTTCAATGTAAAATGATTAACATATTAAAATTTAAATTGATATAATTAAAAAAGAAATAATTAAGGAAGCAACAATATAATCATTGAAAAATTATTTAGAATTAAAGATATTGTAGTTGATTGAAGATTTAATTTGATGATGATTAGGATTTTAAAATATATAATAATATTTTAATCTACGTTATATAATAGCAATAATTTTTCAAACAAGAAATCCTTTGAGATCTCTTGTTTTGATAAATTTTATAGGATGATAAAATTTTCAACTTGAATTTTAATTGTTCAGAAATTTAATCCCTTCTCACTTCTTAGCTTTCTCCTTTATTATCAATGTAAATAGTTCTACTAAATCAAGAATTCAATTCTATGTAAACATTATTTATTAATAAATTGCAATTAAGCTTTATTTTTTCCATAAATAATCATTCGTGGAGAATTCAAAATAATAATAGCTATGATCTGGAAGTGTTATATTAAAAAATATCTTATAATATATTTTCTAATCATATAATAATGGAACCTTATATCCTTAATTTATAAAAGTATTAATTAAAATTGAGAGGTCTAATTAGATAATCTAATTTTTATCCTTCCATCCTATATGCTAAGAACATATTTTCAGCATTTTAACAGACTTCTTCTAAATTGTTTTAAATTACAATAAAGATCTAACTATATTAGTAAATTAATTAGACAAAGAAACATATTATTTTTTAGCAGCCACATTTTTTAACAAATTATAATATATCTATAAATCATTAATTAATTAAAACAAAAAACATACTAAAATGAGAATTTTAAAAATATCCTCTTTAACAAAATTTAAGAATATAGAATTATAGACAAATTCGTAATAATTCATTAAAGTACTTAAATACAAATAATTCTTAATATTTATAAACTTTATTTTTCTTCAATTTAAATTACATCAAATCTTTTGAGAGCATATAATATATGAATTAATTAATATTCATGAGGTTGTTTGGTTCTTGTAGCTAATTTTCTAGTATGAAGTTTGAATCTTAATAAATTTGAATTAATACTTGGAATTTTTAAATGGAAACAATTAAAATAATTCTAATCAAAAGAAAATTTAAAGAGTTTTGCCTTATTCCTATTTGTTTTATCTGAATAATTAGAGTGATAATCTAGCAATATTCTATTTTAAGTTAAATGATAATTGTGACCACTTTTTACACGCATATCATTTGATTTTTATTCAATTTATTTAAATAATTTTATTATATTTAATTTGATAAATGCCTCACATACTTTTAATTGTTTTTATATATAAGACTTTTATTCTAAAAGATTCATCAAGTACTTAATGAAAATTATTAAGAATAATTAATCATATGTTGTGTAAATTGATTATTTCCAAATCCTTTAATAATTATAATAAAAAAAGAGGTGTTAAGATTCTTCAGAAATAAAGATAAACTCTATTTAACTTTTTCTAGTCTCAGCTTTAGATTCTTTGTTAATGAAACTTGATTTTATGTCAGCGATGGAAATTGGCCACCTATAATAAATCAAATTAAGGAAAATAAAGTCTAACCTATAATTTACAAATTAATTCTTCGAAATATACAAAAGAGGAAAATGAATATAATGTCTATTGATCTCACCTTTATTTTAAATAATTTCATGCTTTAATTCAATTATCTTTATCGAAAATATTTACTTATATTGATGATATATTTGTAACAGTGTTATTTTTAGAAATATATATGATTTATATAGATATTATATCTAATAAGTTTTTCTAATTATACACTCACAATATTACATTTTCCAATAAAAAAATAAAAACAGAAAATAATTATTTATAAAACTGACTCAAGTCTACTAATAAAAGTCTTTTTAATAAAGTTTTTGCCAGAAGACTTGTTAGGTTAGTTCATCTAGTTGAATTTTTTATAAATTAATATCAGAATAAAATATTGAATTTTTTTTTAAAAGTTCTATTAGACTTGTATTTTAAATCATTTTCAAACTATATTATTCATTTAATTTTTAATAGTTTTTATAAATAAATCTGACCTATAAGATGATGATATTATCAAGTTCAAAGAGTCATTATTTTGCCTATTAAAACAATCAAAAAAATAGATTTTATCTACTTTTAATGGTTAGCTTAATAATGAAATTAATATAACCTAAAACAATAGTATACAAGGATCTTTTTAACAGTTATATTGAGAGTAGCTTTAATTTTATTTTTTAAAGATTGGATATCTTATTCTGTTATAGGTTGTGAAAATCTATTATCATAAGAAACATGTGGAAATTTTAAAATCATAAGAGTACAGGATTGTACTTTCTCAAATTATCATTCCTTGGTTTTTAAGACTTTTGAACTTAAGCCTCACTATCAATTAACGTTAGAATTCAAATTTTTGAAGTAATGATATATGTAAATAATAAGACGCAAAATATTACTTGATAGCGTTTTCATTGTATATATTGATAATAAGATTGAACATAAACAAACATATTACACTAATGAAGATCCTACTAACACATGCTAAATTTCTAATTTTTTTAATTTTTTTCCTATTTCTATTACTAATTATCACTATAGTTCAACTGTAACAATAGCCATGATTGCAGAAAAAGGGTTTTGGGGAATTACAGAAATTGAATTATCAATAAATGAATGTGCAAGAGGGTGTGATTCGTGTAATTCATCAGGATGTTTAAATTAGCACTTATTTTTTTAATTGTTTAATTAAAAATAATTTATTGTGTAAGAAGAAGAAGGTTGGAAAAGTGATGGTATTGTCTAATAAACAATTAAAGAATGCTATGGTAAATTAATTTATATTATTTAGGATTTAATTACATTATTTATAATAAAAATAACTTAATGAAATAATTTGAATTAGATTTACATTATACAATAAGATTTTAATTAAAACTATTAATTTTTAATTCATAATTTACACAAGTTAATATTATGATAGATGATAATTTAGTATTTACAACAAATTATGAACATAAGTTAGTACAATTTCAAGGTTTAATTTGTAATTATGTTTCAGTAGATGAAATTAATTTAGAATATTCATATCAACATCATAATTCTAATTTGAAAATATCTATTAAAGTTGATTTATAAAATTTAGACACTAACTTAACTAAATTTATAGGAATGAGAGATTTTAAATTATTTTTAAAATTATTTGATGATGGTTGCATTGATAATAATATTGTTCCTTTTGATGGATGCTATTCTAATAATTATGATTGTATTTAAGGTTGTAGAAATTGTATTAAAGGGATATGTTAAAATTGTTTAGACGGCTTTTGGTATTAAGAATAAACTTAAATTTGTATTCCTTAGTGTGGTGACTCTATTATAACATTAAATGAGGAATGTGATGATGGAAATAAAATTGGTTATGATGGATGTTATGAATGTAAATATTAATGCAGTTAGAATTGTGAAAAATGCTAATTTGGAAAATGTTTGGAATGTTAAGTAGAGTATTAATTAGATTTTTACAAAATTAAATGTATTCCTAAATGTGGAGATGATGTTATAACATCATAAGAATTATTTGATGATGGGAATAATATTTAATTTGATGGTTATCATAAATGCTTAAATTATTGTTAAATAGAATGTTTATTATGTTTTGATAATAAGTGCTATAATTGTTAAGAAGGTTGGTAGTTGCAAGAGTATTAATGTATTTAAATTTGTGGAGATAGTGAATAGTATTAGATTCCTTATTAAATGAATAATGGAAAATGTTTACCAATTTGTGGAGATAATATTATTACTCCAATTTTTGAATAATGTGATGATGGTAATGATATTCCATATGATGGATGTTTTCAATGTTTATATTCATGTTCTTATGGATGTATTTAATGTGAAAAGGATAATCATTGTCTATTATGTGAAGATTAAAATTATATTCTAGATACTCAAACTTTTTAGTGTAATCTTTAATAATAAAATATTGAAACAAACACAGAAGTAATAATCAATGATAATGATTAATTAATTGTTTAATGTAATAAAAATTAAGCATTTATCTAAAATAAATGTGTTAATTTATGTGGGAATGGAATACTTAAAAGTGAATTTGAATAATGTGATGATGGTAATAATAATGGTGGAGATGGATGTTCTGCTTTATGTTTTTAAGAAGATTCATATGAATGTAATAATCAAGAAAATTAGTTAAGTATTTGCACATTTATCTAAACTCCCAATTTTAATTTAATTTTGCTTTCTGATAAATAAAATTAAACTAAAATTATTGAATTAATCTTCTCTTAACAAGTTTATATTTCATCAAAACTTAATTTTGAACAAATCATAGAATTCATTATACTAAATGAAATCTAAATTGCATTTTCTCTAATCCCATTTTAAAATATTACTTCCTAATTAAGTAATCCAAAGTATAAAATTTTAATTTAGTTTTTGGAACCTGTTGCAAATCCAATATTAAAAGTTACCATTTAAAAATATTCTATCTTTAATTCATATGATATGGAATTAAATAATAATTAAATATAATTGCAACTTGGAACTCCTTTTGTGTTATCAGAAGCTACTTAAAAAAGAGTAAATTAAATTATTTAAATGAATGATGCTGTCATCTATACAACTGTTGGCATAGCTGGATTTCTTTTTTTAACTGGTAATTACATTGTTTTTTTCAATTTATTAGATTTATTATAAACCTTATCATATATTCGATATATGCAATATAGATTTCCGCCTCATTTACGTTAGTTTTTAGATATTTATACTAAAATATCTTTATAGCCTATTTTAGATAGTTTAAATGTAGATGAACTTATAGCTAAAGTTAATGGAGGTTCTATTCCTTATTTTAATAATTCAAATTACTAATCACAATAAACCAATGCTTTAAATTAGTTTTATTTAATCAATGCAAAAAGTTGTTTAATAACTTATATATTTTCTTTTTTAACATATCTTATATGCTGTCTAATTTCTACAAATAAAGTATCATAATGGCTAAGAGTTTGTTTTAGAAAAAATAAATTAAATATTTAAATTCTTCGCTTAATTTCCAAGATTTAAAAGAAAATTTATTTATAATGTTCTTATATAAAAAGAGATTATTTTTCTTTGGGAATTTTTTAACTATTTTTTTCAACTCTTCATTAGTTATTATTTAGTACATTATTATAGTTTCCATAGTATACTTTTAACTCTTTATTTGAAATTTTCAATAGTTTTGCTGCAATTGGAAGCTTATTATATTAGATTTATATGTTTCTTAAATTGCTATCAATTACAACCTCTTAAATCAAAAACAGATAAAAATGGAAATACTTTTTTTTAGAATAAAAAACTCAGTTTTGGGCAGCTAATTTTAAATCATTTCAAATTTTTAGAATAGTTTTTTATATTACAATTATCGTTGAGTTAATAAATTATCCAGAAGCATAATCAATTCTACTTTCAATGTAGTCATTTTTTTATTTAATTTATTTGATTCAATTTAGACCTATAAAATCAAAGTTTGAGTAATATAAATTAGTTTGTAGAGAAGTAATACTATTAATTACTTCAGGATCATTTTTAATATATGCTTTAGAATTAAATTATAATTAATATTTAATCTATGGTTGGTTACACATAGCTCTATTAAGTTTCTTAATGGGATTTACATTAATAGTTGACATTTTTGAGCAACTATAAAAAACATATCATAACCATTTAAAAAAGAAATTGAATTAAAAGAGAAAAAAAATACAGAGTTATTATATAAATCCATTATAAAAATTTGTTGTTTATGATTTGAAAGACATTGAATGAATTATCAATCTATATTTTTAGACAACAAAGTTGCATTTTTGTCAAAATTTAAATATAAATTATTATTATTTTTTTTAATTTCCAAATATAAATATTAATCATCACTTTTTATTCTATTACTTAATTAATTATCGAGATAGAATATAATTAATTTGGTCTTCTTAAAAATCCGTTCAATTTATCATAACTTTTCTACATGAAATCTTAATCAAGACGAAGCCAATTATTTCTTTTAATAATTTTTAGTATTTAATTTAAATATTTAATTTTAATTTCTTAATAACATAACTGAAACAAAGGATTTCCAAGGTTTATTAAATTCTTTTAATTCTTAATTGATTTAATTGAAAATAATAGCCTCTCTATTTGAATACTAAATTAAGAATTTTAAATAAGTTTGAATAAGAAAATCGAAAATAGAAATTAAGAATTTAATAAGGTAAAATTTAAATTCTTCAAAATTTGATTTGCAATTTAATAATCTGTATTGTAATAAATAAATTAGACAAATGTCTTAGATTTAAAATGATGTTGTAAGTTTAAGTTATTCTGTAAAACTTAATTAAACTATTTTTTGTTTAACTTATATTATTTGTGATTCAAATTTATCAAAATTTAGGAGACAAATTGAATTGATAAATCTTAATAAAATTTTCTATATTTAAAAAATAGAAAGATTCTTTTAAATCATCGATCACCTGAGTTATTTTTTCTAACATTAAATTCTTCATAAATTCTATTTATTTGAAATATATTACAATTTAATTGAACTTTTTGTTGTTATGGTGTCTTCTTTTATTTTATTACAATATTATTACATTCTAAACAAGTTTATCTTTTATCAAAAGTTTTATAATCATTATAACTTTAATATTAAGATTAATAACATCCATTATAAGGTTCCTTATTACCATCATGGCAATTTCATAAATATAGAGAAACCAAAAAAAACCAAATTAAAAAACACATCTTCCATCATTAATATATAAGTCATTCACACAAAATTCACAATAATTAATATAAACTACATAATAAATAATAATCAATTATCTTCACATATTTATAAATAAATATTATTAATTAAAATCCATCATATTAAAAGTTTATTATTCTCATTAATAACTATTTTCACATTTATCACAACACCATCATAATCTAAATTTATTTTTATCATCACATATAGCACTTTAAACTTGGAGCATTTTTGCAAATATGCTTAAATATCTGAAGAGAGAAGGAGATAGTATCCTATCTTTTTAAAAATTTTTATAGTTTTGATTGAAAAGAATAGCGCAATAAATACATATAACTAATATGATCAATTTGTTCAGATATTTTTTTTTCAAATATAATTTAATTTATTTGGTATAATTTTAAATTATTATTAATTTTATTATCATTAAGATCAATTCTTTTCCCAAAATGATTATTAATATTCAATCTTATCTTGAGCTTATTTAATCTTTTTATTTTTATTTAATTCTTTATAAATAATTCTATCATTTGAGAAATATTTAATCATAAATCTTTTTGTGATTTAATTATTATAAATCAATTATATAATATAAATTTACATTTATAATATGCATAGTTCTAAATAAATTTTGATGAATTAATCCATGAATAACATTCTATAAAATAATGAAGAGTTGTATCAATCAAGAAAATCTTTCTAACAAGTAATGTGCTGTTAAAAGATTAGATTTTTAAGGTACTCTTAATTATAAAATTATAGGAATTTCATTAAAATAGAGTATTACAAAAAAATGATATTAAAAAAATTGTAGAATTCTAATAAGCACAATATAAATAAAAGATATAATATATAAATCATCTATTAATATATTTTCTATATTAATTTAACTTTCCTTCTATTCAAATTCTAAAATTTAATTAACTCTTTTTTATTTTAATTGATTGAAAAGATTTTGATGAGGATATTGATAATTTGTAAATTTTTTTCAGAGATAATTAAAATAATCATTTTTATATATATATTTTCACTATGAAATTTCATTTTTTCATTTTTAATTAAGGTGTTTGTTTGATTTTTTTGATTTTTTTTTAAATTGTGTATGTTTGCTCTAACATTTTTAAATATTCTTTGGCATCTGATTCATTCTTTATTTATTAAGCCTTTTCATAAAATACATCCTTCTATTCATTTGTTAAATGGAAGTTAAAATTATCACTAATTATAATACAAATATTACTATGCTTGTTTAACTATTTAATTCATTGTCAATTTTGATTAATCTCTTACAGATTTCCATCTTTCCTCTTCCAAATATAAAAAATATGCTGATAGAATTGGATTTTTTTTGTCATAATTCTTAAAACGGGCTTAGGGTTTTAAAACTTTCTAAACTTTAGCTTTAACATTATTTTATTTTTTCATTTATAAATATAATTATCAAATTGATTTTTATATTTAAATAGTAAAATAAATATATAAAAGCATTCAAAATAACAAAACTTTATGGATAAAAAATATAAAAACAATTTAATTAATTAAAAGCTAAATCAAATGATGGAAATACATTAAATTCAAGATAAGAAAAAATTTTATTTCTATACAATTTTGATTTTTTATATGAAGAAGTTATTATCATATTATATATTAGTGAAATTATTCAGACATCTTAAAAAAAATTAATTTTAACAATAAATTTAAGTTATTTTTTTATAATTATATGTTCAATCATTTTTGAATGCTATTATTATTATTAAAATTTAAAGCTAATTAACTTAAGTATTTTAATAATACTTAATTAAATGTTTAAGTTCGTAAAGTAATTAAATTACCGCATAAAATTAACTTATAAATGTCTTTTATAAGTATTAATTTTATTTTTATTATGACTTTTTTTTTATTTTCAAATACAAAAGTTTAGAAGATTTGACTTTAATTAGAGAGTAAATAATTATTAAATTATTAAAGCATTTAAGAAGGTACAACAATTATTGTGATTGTTCTTTTGTATTAATTATAGATTTGTAAATATGAAATTGAAGAACTACTTTAGAACCAAAAAAATATATTATGGATTTAATAAAAAGAAATTTATGAATTAAAAGATAGAATAAAATAGTTTGATATCGATTTTTTTAAAGAATTAATATGTCTTGAAAAGTCAAATATAAGTAAAAGATGTATTGATTGTTTAATTCGCACAAAAACTCTAAAATATCATCAGAAGAGAATATTGCTGCTAAATAACAACTCATTTTACAAAATCTTGAAATCTAAATGCTTAAAACTGATTATTAATTTATCCAGAAACTTAAAAAAGTAAAATAAGAATTTCAAAAGATTAAGTTTTTGAGATATGAAAAAAGAAATAGAGATTAATGAAGTGAAGCCAAAATAGAAGGGAAATGTTTCAATACAAATGATAAAAAAAATCCATCTTCTTTTGAAGAAAAGAGCTAATGAATTAAGTAATTTATATCCTTCAGATACTAAACATGCTCTCTTTTCTGTTCTTTTTTCACAAATGTTAGATAATTATTTTAAATTTTGAATACATCCTAGAAATAACAAAATAAACTTTCACTTATTATTTATTAACATTCCTTTTAGACTACACTATTAATCAGTATTTAAAAATCGTTAAATTTATCCATTCTTTTTTTCTTAAAACCAAAATACTCATTAAAGAAATGGATCATTCTAATTTCAATATTATCTATGTTCATCTACTAATCACTATTCATTTTTTTTTCATAACTTAATTAAATTTGATGTCTAAATTGATTGCAATACATGTTGTTTTTATTTTTTAAAATTTTTATTTCACAAAAAACAATCTCAACAACAATAATCACATGGCCGTTGAAAAATCAAGCTTAAAAAGCAACCCTCAACTTTTTTCTAAAAGTTAAGAATCTATTTATAATGAAAATCATACCGAAAATCAGTTTTATAAATTGATACTGACATTTTTAGATATTTTTCGCTGCTTTATCAAGATTTTATTCTAATCTGAATTGTTTTATATTAAAAATTTTTGTTAACATATAATTTCTATAAAATTAAGCAATAAGAATGGTTTAATTTATAATTTCAACAAGTTATCATGATTTATATTATAAAAATACTATCATATTGTTTCCCATATTATTTAAAATTCTTACATTTATGCTAATTCAGATATTCTATAATATTCGTTTTTAATAATTTCCTATATTTTATCCTAGTTTTTCATTGAACCTCTCAGTCTTACTAAATTTTTAGATTTGATAACATTTTCAGTTTCACTAATTTGCTTAATAATTGAATCATAATCCTTTTGCAATTATTCATAAATTCTCTAGTTATTGTTGTTAAATAAAATGTTTTAGTATATTTTTAATAAATTTTAAGCTTCCTATTCCTTCTTTGTGTTTTCTTCCATTACTTAATTTTTTTTTTATTAAAATATAGCAATATAACTACTTTAATTTTATTTATTCTTTTATTTTGATGCATCTTCTTTTATTCTTTCATAATATCTTGTTAAATTATACTGTCTTATATAATTAGATAAAGCATATAATTTAAAAAAAGAATCTAGGTTAGATTTATATTTTTTGTTGAAAATGTTTATTTCATTATCTGATGGGATTCGCTTTATCAAATGATTTAATCGCTCAATTTATTATTGAATTTTTTCTTTTTCTATCATAAAAGCTGATGGATTTAATTATAATTCTTATGACTTTTGACCCATTTCATTTATTTCTTTAAATAAATGTTCTTCTGTTTTCTTTAGCTCTTGATAATTATCAACAAGAGTATTATCCATAATATTGAATTATAATTCATTCTATTTATTATGCGCATTTTAATATACTTCATCCAATTTTTATGTTTTGTCTTTATTATATTATTATAATTTATTAACTAATCTTAGAAAATTATTACCTAATTCTGACGATTTTATTTTCTAACTATCTATTAATTTCTTAAATAGATTCTAATTCTCTTTGTTAATTTTATAGTAATTTTCAATTCTTTCTATTTCTTATTCTAATTCTATTTATAATTTTTCTTTTTTCTCATTCATTATTTTTAAATAATCAATTGTTTCTTAATCAATTTTGACTGATGATAAAGCTCTTGAAAACCTCATTAATAAAATTTATAATTGATTATTTAATTGAAAATATTCTTTTTCTTGTTCAGTTTTTTATTCATTGCCTATTTTTTAAATTATTAAATATAATTAGTTTACTTTTTCTTATTCGTCCAATATTAATAATTTTAATTTTTCCTTAAATGATTCCAAATCAATCATTTGAAAATTAATACTATCATAGGAACTTAAATTATTAAATCTTAAGAAATTTTAATATTATTATTGAATTGAATATATATTTTAATCGATCTTTTATTATTTATCGGCTATTAAATTTCTAGTTTATTCATTATTACAATATTAATTTTTACTAAAATCATTAACTGAAATTTTTAATTAATTCATCTTAACTATAAATTCATTTAATTAGCCTTCTATTTATTTCAATTTTTTTATTCTTTCATTATTTTTTTATTCAATATGTTAATCATTATGTATTTATTCGAGCAATAAATTATGTTATTTGTTAAATTCTTATAATTATTAAGTAATATAATCATAAATTTGTTTGAACTTCAAATAATTTAAAAATATTCCTTACTATAGTAATTAATTTAAATCATTTAATTATTCAGAGCAAAAACCTAATTAGTTACTATATTAATTAATTTTTTCAGCATATTTTTAGTTTTAAGATAGATACATAAATTTATCTTAGTAATCATTTAAATTATCAGCTAAAAAATCTATTTACCTTTAACAATCTTAAATAAATTTACTATCAATTTATTCAATAATTTTATTCATATCATTAATTAAGTTTTTTAGTATATTTTAAGCCTATAGGAGTTCTTCAAGCTTAATTGTGAAAGATTAATAGTTAATAAGCTGTAGTGGTTTATCAATTTAAATAATTATTTTCTCTTATTATTCTAAGCCCACTAATTCTTATGTTATTTTTTAAAATAATCTTAGAATTTCTTAAAGTCTTTCTTACCCTGAAATTTAATATACTAAATTTTTTTCATAAAACTTCATTTTTTCCTCAATTTTAGTTATGTTAACATTATATTAATATGATTATTATGTTAAATTTTCAAATTTTAATTTAAAGTTTTTTTTTTCTAGATTTAATTGATTCTCTAGTTCTTATTGTTTTAATTATTCCTTTTCTTATAATTCATTTTTTTATTAATCTCCAAGTTGATTTTAAAGTAACATTTATTATTCTGATATCATTTGAATAGTATTATTGTAATCCAATATATCTTATTAAATCTCTGATGCCAGTTGACGATCAAGACCTTAAGTTTGCTCTACTTTAGAAACTTATTATATTTATTATTAAATCTGTCTATTTTTTAAAAGTTTTTCATCATTTTTTTTAAGCTCTATCTTTATTTATTATATTAACTTATTTTTTTAATCATTCATTAGATTAATATTTTCTATAATTTCTAATTTTTATTAAATATTTTAATTAAAGATTTTCATGTTATTTTACTAGGATTATAATAGAGATAATAAAGATTGTTTTTCGTTTTATAAATACTATTAATTTTCTTATTACAATTAATTTTGAAGTTAATCAACTTTATTTGCATAATCTAGCATGTATTTTGTCTAAATTTCTTTTTCTAACTATTGCTTAATTTATTCTTCCTATTCTAGTACTTTTTATTTAATTTCTTCTTCTTTTTTTTAGTTTTCTTTTTCTTTAAATTTTTGAAGGAATGCATTTTATTCTTATTCTTTAATTTTTTTAAATTTATCCATTTCATTTTAGAAATTTAATACTTATTACAATTTCAATTCAGCTAACTTTTCGTTGTCTTATTATTATTTTAAAACTTCTTATTATTACTTTTTTAGTTCTGTTTCTTTTTCTTTTATTTATAGTTCAAATTCATTCTTCTATTGATTTTTAAATTGTTCTATTTTATCTAAGAGTTCTTGGTCTTTTTATAGTTCGATTTATCTTTTTATTTATTACATTTCTTCTTCCTTTTTTAATTCAAAATCACGTAATTTTTTTTCATATTCATCCTTCATTTTCTTTTAAGTTTCTTCTTAAATTCTATCAAGTATTTATTTCAATTCTTATAAATCTTATTATTATTATCTCTCATTATCTTAAAAATCTGATGGTTGATAATGAAATGAATTATTATTTAATTATTGTTATTAAATAGGAAATATCTGCTGAAATTATTATTATCCTTAATTGAATTAAGTTTATTATTATGTGAATAAACCATATCCTTATTTGAATTAAGCTTCTATTGATTAGTTATTTAAATAGGTTTGATTAAAATTCATAGAGGGATGATTTTAATTCTCATTCTGCTATTAATTTTTGTATTAATCATAAGCTTCAATTATTTTTTCCAATTACAATCTTTATGTTGGAATTTTTTTCATCATTTTCTTAATTAAATCTTTTTCTTTTTGTTATATAATAGGGTTTTGTTAAATTTATTTATCAATTTCAAATTATGATATTATTTAGATTCGATTAAATATTTCTTATTATGTACCTAAAATATAAATTTTAAATTACCATTAAAGAATGTCTCTCCTACTAATAATTCAAACCAAATGGATCCTAAAGACCATATATCGACTGATTTATCATAAAAAGCTACTCTATTTTAATTACACTGAATCACTTCTGGAGCTATGTAATATGGTGTTCCAACACAACCAGTCTTACCCAATTTATTTGCAGTTTCTTTCACTAAACCAAAGTCAATCAATTTTATGATCTTTTATTAATTCGGTTTATTAATATATACAAAGTTTTCAGGTTTCAAATCTCTGTGAAATAATCCCAATTAATGAAGTTAGCTAACTCCCTTTGCCATCTAATTATATCATATATAAATAATTACTTAAAGAAAATATTAATTTTTTTATTAATAATCTAATCTTGAGTATTCATTTGATTTCATAAAATTGTAGAATTCCCCATTAGCGAATTCCATAACAATTATTGGACATTAATTTTAATTGTATTTTAATCCTTTGATTTCAATAATATGGTTGTAGCATTTTGACTAAATTACTTAAAATGCTTTTTATTCATTAATATTTATTGTTGAGTATTCTTTTATAGCCACTATTTCTTTGGTTTAAATATTTTCTCCCTTATAAATAACTCCTTCCATCCCTTAACCAAGTTATTCTAATTTTAAGTAGGTAACACCATCAATTATTATTTTTGCATTTTACGTCCTAATATTCGTATTAAAGAACATATTAGATTTAATCTTTAATATTAATAATAAAGAATTTTATTAATACTTTCTTATAAATAAAATTTTGAATCTTAAATATCAAATTATCAAATTCTATTCTATAAATCCAATCAAATTATTAATTTTCTTAATTCTCTATATTTCTATTAAAGGTTAAAAACTTTTAATTCTCCCATTAATATATAAAAATTACCAAATTTTATAAAATAATCTAATCAAATCGAATTTTTGGACTATTTTATGTTAAAGAAAATTAATCAAACATCTTTAATGATCAAAAAATATTTGGAAAATTATTTTCAAAATTTGGAAAATCTATTGTTGCTTAGAAAGATCAAATTTTAAATGATTTAGATACTTTTTTATATTTAAATAATATTAATTAAGCAAATTACATTAAATATGAAAAATAATTAGACTAAATTATTGAACAATATTAATTTTATATTAGTAAATCCATAGCCTCAAAAAAATGGAGAATAATAAATTAATAACAATACTTACTTGGAAGTAGATCAATCTATACTATTTTGATTTTATTTTTGTGGATTATATGTCTAAAATTAGCAGAATATAAAGCTAAATTTTTCGGAATTATAATTTTTTCATTAATATTTACTTATTAAGGTAAACATCAATATAGTCAAGAAGTTGGCAGTTAGAAAATTCAAAAAGGAATCAATTTTTCAAATAAAGTATCTAATAATTTCTAATGAAATGGATTATGAATTGAATAAGATATATTTTTTTTTAAGTAAGAGATTTGAATCTGAATAATATTTCTTGAAGCATTCGTGATTTTGGTTTATGTTTTTGATTGATTATGTTTTCTAAAATATTAATTATATTTTATATTAATTATAAAATTAAGTTTTAATTTTAAAGAACCAACTTAAAGTCTTTATTCATATAAAATTTTTAACATATTAATCCCTCTTATGAGAAGTTTATAAAAGATAAAATACCAAATTAGATAAATAGATATATTTACTTTTTCATAGATTTAATATTATACAAATTATTGAAAATGTACTCAATATTTAATTATCGATTAGCTAATAAGGGCTAGAGCTGATTAATATTTTAATATATTTATTTTTATCAATTAATTTCTTATATATGGGAGAATTTTTAAAATTTTAATTAATTATATATGCCAAAAGAATCTTTATTCCTTATAAATAAATTGAGGAACAAGTAAATAAAATATATAACCAAGATATTTGAAATCATATTGTTTCCAAAATTTATTCTCATTAATTTGTATCTAAAATTACTTTTTTTTTGATTAAAGAATCAAAAATTACACTTGTGTTGTATAAAAATATATTAGGCTTTGTACAAAATAAAATTAAAATTATAATATAGATTATTTTTTAAATTAAAATTATAAAAAAAAATAATTTTTAGGATATTTAATATTTTATTAGAAGTAATGTTAAATTCTACAAAAAATATATACTGATTATTTTTTTTGTTAATAGAATTTATTATTTTAAAAAAATCAAGTTAATTGATATTTTATAAATAATTTTTGTTGAAAGAAGTTTCAACCCCTAGAGTGGCATTTATAATTTTGTATAACTTTATGTTCAACAAAAACATAATTATAGCTCTAAAATATGCAATTTAATTAAATAAACATTAATATTATTTTTAAAATTTAAAAGTTAATCCAAAAATAAATTTTGATAAAAAATGATAGTAATAAATATTTTTAAAAAAGTGTTACAAATTAATTAAATTTAATTTGTATTATTTTTCACTTTTTATAAATTTCTTTTGATCCCATTATTTCAATTGAATCTCACTTTTTATACTAAAATCAATATAGTATAATAAAGATGTAAAATTATTATTTTAATATATTATTCCAATAGATATTAAATAGCATTCTTGAAATAACTGTATTAAATCCTAATTCTTAAACTTTTCGCTTGCAAATAAATTTTATAAGAAATCCCATCAATATATTCAT